CAATGAGTTACTTTCTTAATTTGGTCATTTCTTGTGATTAATGAGCTGAAATATGAGTGTCAGATTTTGTTGGAACTAAAACAAATGGCTCTTTCATTTAATGTCATTTTAACAAATATCATAAAGCCAGATGTCCTCAGAGGGACACAGAATTACTTTTCTAGAAAGTGTGATTCCACACTTTACAAAAGCCTTTCTGCTTCAAGCACACGGCTGTCATAGGAAAACAGAAAACCGAAGAGATATCCCGGAGTTCTAAACAAGGCAAACGTCTCTTCTGAACAAAAATGCAACAGCGACTTCACTGCTCACTTCATTGTGCTTGCTCTCCCATCAGTTGGTGACTTTCTTAAGAGAGGAATTTTGTTAAAATTGTTAATCTTCTATGCATAACATTGTGCTGATAAATTTCTGTTAATGGTACAGCCTAATGGATACGCAGATATGTTTATGTATTTTTACATAACGAGGAAAGTATTGTTCAAGTTTTATTACTTGATGACAATATCCAATTTAAAATATAATTACGTTCATTATAAAAATGTGATTTTACGTATAATATGTATTGTGTTTGGTCAGAATTAAAAATGAAAACTCTTACAGAAGGGAGTAAATTTACCTTTTTATGTTTATACATAGCCTAACAAAGAAAGAGACTTTTTTCCTATTTCTTAACTAATTTTAAACTTAGGCTAACTGGTCCTAAGTAGCAAAACTGGTATCCAGCTATAGAATGGAAGCTGAGGAGCTTAATGTATGCTTAAAAGATATTTTGTAGACTGCAAGTTGACTTTCATGGGTACAATGGTTCATTTTGGATTTTGGAAATTATCCTGGATTATATGGGAACTTGAGAAATTATTTCTCTGAAAGCTCAGGGCCTTTTCTGATCTATTTTAAAAACAAACTTTCCAACACATTACATAACGCTATTGCCTTAAATACTGGATCACTATAAGTCCATAAACTTAAATTTCTGTTATTATAGCTATTTCAAGAATCAAATGGGATAATGAATTCCTTTAAAACAGCAACATAATAGAATCTCCCTGAAAATAGCAGCTATTATTGTTGTTAGTATATTTAAATTTAACACATAAAGATGTCAGTTGACATACTGTCCGTTTCTATAGCTTAAATGAAGACTGAGCCCACTGATTATTTTTTGTAAATACAGTTTTGTTTTGTTTTGTTTTGTTTTGTTTTCCTCAGAACACTACCATTCTGAGCCCACACTCACTTTTGTACAATAATGGTAGAGTTGAGTAGTTGAGACAATGTGTGGCCTGAAAAGCCTACAGTGGTTACTGTCTGGCTCTTCAAGAAAAAGTTTGCTGACCCGGACTTAAAGCTCCAACTGTCCTTGTAAACTTTTAAAAAAGAGAGTATTTTATTAAAAAAGAAAGTAATTTTGATTAAAATAACTTATGAACACTCGTTTGAAACAAATGACTTTGATTCATGTAGAGGTTTCTGATATAAGAAGAGATACTACAATTTGAATAAAGGCCAAACATGCTTTGGGGAAGTTCAGATACCCAAAATCAGTCAGTAGAAGTGGAACAAATTCTGAATGCTTCAAGTTCAAGAATAAAGCAATGTCCACATGGTTTTAAACTGAACTAAGTCATCACTACCTAGTTTACCAAAATCAAATTTATTTTCAGTGGTTTGGGAAGGGGGCAACAATTTGTAGACACATAACAAACAGATTCTGCTGTAGAATCCTACCCGGCTGGGTTTTTTATTAAAAAAAATTTTTTTAATACTGTATACAAAAAGCAAATGACAAGGATTTACCAACTAGACCTGGGCTCTCCCAATGCACTTAAATAGTATCAGTGAACTCTATATTAAATTATTTGAAATTTTGTTGGCATTTCATGATCATAAATTAGCTAACACACATAAATACATTAGGGAAGAGATCAAATTTATATGTGGAAAAATTAGGTAAAATTTACCAGAGGATTCTGTTCTATTCCTATGTTCCCAGTGGATGGCCTAGGTGTTTATCCTACGGGGCTGATTTAGTGACCAAGTTTCAACCCTGGGCTACACAAGAAATGTTAATGTAATCTCCAATATCCAGGACTTCTTCACCAGCAGATACAACTCACTCCAGAATGATTAGCATAGTCCCAATCACCAGTAGCCATTTCTGTTCGGATTCCCAGGCGTTTTGTCATCAGCCTTTTAACCTCTGGTTCTAAGATTATTGCCTAGTTCTTCCAACTCACCTATCTTCCTACCTCTCTCCAGCCAGAGCCTTTAATTAACCTTTGGGTCTCATTCTATGTTAAGCAATTTCTTCTACATTCTCTTATCCCCTTTCACTGAATTCACTGAATCTGCTTACTATGTCCTTGCCTCAGCTGGTTCTGTTACAAATGTATGGCTTTCTCCACAGCCCTTTCCAAAAGAGGATGCTCATGCTCCAATATCCCATACAGCCCACGTAGGATAGCATATGGATGACGAAGAGATGCCCAATCCATTACCCTTCAACATTCTTTTGAGGTGTATTCCAACAGGTTAAGATGTCCTCTCACCTGACTCTCCCTGTGGCTGCTGTCCATTAATTTCTCCATCAGTCCCTTCTACATGCCCTGCCTACACTCCTTCCCCAAGAACTGGCCTCACACTGAATGACTTCAATGTCATTGTGAAGATTCAGCCGACACCTTAGTTTGAGAGCTCCCTGCCATCTTGCCTTAACTCCATCATTAGGTTTGAGCCACTCATATCCATATAACACTCCATATTTTGTATTTAGTTTTCCAGGATTATTCTGAAATCCTGAATCTTGGATCCCACTCTATGATCACAACCATACCTTCAGGCTCTCTCAGTTCCACCAGCCTGAAAAAAATTCCAAAGCTGGCTCAGGCTGAGTGTTGCCTTTCTCCCCTTTATGCAAGACCTTAAAAAGGGAAACATCTGTCTATATTGGCATCATTATGAATTTGTAGCCTCAAAATTCAGCTGGGTCTTCAGCACTGCAATTGATGTATCTTTAATTTACTTTTCTTTTTTTTTGCATTCTCCACAGTATCCATTTCCTCTTTCTTTCCTCCATGACCTTCCCATTTTATAATCTTGTTATAAGGCTGGACATAGACCTTGCTTCCTACTTCAGACAGAAGTCACTTTGTTGGGATTCCTTCAATGTTCGATCCTTGTGTTACAAATTCACCTGCAAATATTATTATTGGTCCATGTTTCCCTGTGCTTTTAACGACAATCCAATCTTTGTGTGCTGGATATGCAGCAAAATTATACCAATTTTTCAGGTGTCAGGCTGGATATCATTTCTTCATGTGCCTCTGTCATTGGTACTCCACAGCATAAAACAGTTACTGCTTACTGTCTATATTTCTTGCTAAACTGTAAGCTCCATATTGCACACAGCAATTAGGCAGCATCAAACCACAGTGAAAGTTTAATACAAATGATATTTTGGGGGCGCCTGGGTGGCGCAGTCGGTTAAGCGTCCGACTTCAGCCAGGTCACGATCTCGCGGTCCGGGAGTTCGAGCCCTGCGTCAGGCTCTGGGCTGATGGCTCAGAGCCTGGAGCCTGTTTCCGATTCTGTGTCTCCCTCTTTCTCTGCCCCTCCCCCGTTCATGCTCTGTCTCTCTCTGTCCCAAATAAATAAATAAACGTTGAAAAAAATTTTTTAAAAAAACAAATGATATTTTGTTACAGGCAACAAACCTCCATGTAGAGGGAAATTCATAAGTGACTCCTTAAATGTTTCTTGATACCCACACAGATATTACCATTCAATAGGTAAACGCCATCAATTTTTTCTGAAAAGTTTACGTGTGGGGGGGGATTGAATTTGTATTAACAAAATCCATTTTTAAATGTTCTGGGAGAATTCTGGATATCTTAGAGAACTCAACATATGGCAAATTGATTTTTTACATGGAAAATTCTTTTATAATAAAAATAATCGAATTACTATTTTTCTGCTTTTTAACTTTACTTTTTCATATACTGGATTTCTTGAAGTGTAGTTCAGGTGTATATAAATACCTCACTTAAAAAGACACATGGATTCTAAAGAGTTATACGTCAATCAATTTTTCCATAAATAGGTAATCATTCAACTCTGAGATGTATTTTAGAAATAATTTTTCATAATAAAAAAGTAGTCTCTGGACATCATTAAAATGTATTAAAATATTAACAAAGTTACTCAGTAAATAAGAAGTACTATTCCAGGGGCAGCTGAGTGGCTCAGTCGGTTAAGTGGCCGACTTCAGCTCAGGTCATGATCTTGCACTTCGGTGAGTTCGAACCCCGCATCGGGCTTTGCGCTAACAGCTCAGAGCCTGGAGCCTGCTTTGAATTCTGTGTCTTCCTCTCTCTCTGTCCCTCTCCTGCCTGCGCTCTGTCTCTCTCTCAAAAATAAATAAATATTAAAAAAAGAAAAGAAAGAAAAGAAGTACTATTCCAAAACTCTAGTGTCATATGTAGTGTGCTAGAAAATGCTTATTTAATCACTAAACCTACCTGCTCCTGGCTTGACATCATTAGTGCAGGTGGGGACTCCTCAGTTTCTACAAAAGTTAGCTGTGTTATCAGAATTTCCCTCCTGCCCTTGCCTAGGTATTGTTGAGCTGACTTGCTTATTTACAGTCTTCTGAATCTGTGCTTGCTTACACTGAGTAGGGAACAGACTAACACAACTTGAGAAAGGGAGTGACAATGAGAGGTGGATATGAAAACAGCAAGTTCCAGAGAGTAAGACGCAGGGCAAAGGGGTTACCTCGGCAATGTGAAACTGTGGGCAAGATTACTCGGTCTGAGGGCAACACAAAATGAGCCAGGCAGCATGGTGACCAAAGAAACACTTACAAATAACACAGTGAATCAGCTTTGGCCAAAGTCAAGTAATTCACAAATGGCTTTTCCTTTTCAGATTTATAAAAAGTGCTATCTGAGGTTCACCTTTACCTTGAAAAGTCATCTGCGTCCAAGTGAGCCACTTACCTCTGCGAGATAGAACTCGTCGTACTGCCTCCTGAAGCTTTCCCCTTTGTGGTAGTTGCTGGCAGCAACTATCACATCCACCGTCACCATGCTCAGAATGAACATGTGGAAAACTGATGACCGCATCATTTGCTGAGGAGGCAAAACAGATAAACTCTTAACAAGGAAAGCAACCGCTCTAGGAAGTCGCCTCAGTTTTATAGATTAGAAAATCGAGGCTCAGTGAAGTTAAATAACTTTCCCACTGTCACACAGTATTGCAGGTGGTGCCGTGATGTGGACCCAAGTCTACTGCCTACACTGAGATGAAATAATTAGGCATTCAAAGCTAATGACTGTTACGATAATGACTGCCATGAATTGAACGCTTACTATGTTCCAGGCCATACTAGAAGCGTGTTATTTACTTTATCTCTTTTAATCTCCAGCATAGCCCTACACAGCAGGATATATTACTCGCTTTTCCCAGTGATTTCAAACAGAAAAAGTCATTTGTCCAAGATCACACAGCAAGTACACAGTAGAAGTGGGCTTCCTATCCAATCAAGTCTATGTAAAGTCCATTCTGGGACCCACTGCCCCCAGTGGGGTAGATGATATATGAAAGGAGAGAGTACAGGCCGAAGGCCTTGGGCAGCAAAAAAGGAGAGAGAAGCTGGCCTGTGGAAAGGACCTGAGTGCAAAACAACAAGCCACTAAATCCCATCCCTTGGTGCCAAATGCCAGAGATGAGCACCACCATGTGTTAAGGCCTTGTTGCTTCCTGGCATGTTAGGGACACAGATTCTTACATTCGACCCGACTTGAAAAGTCTTCAATCTTTGCAACTAAAAGAACCTAACCAGAGCAGAGCCTGGAGATGGGAAAGGAGAAACAGGACTCAGGACTGCTTCCTCTGAGTACTGTGAGTCCAGCTGTTGTCTTATGCATCCATATATGTGACCGTACACGGCCTTTGTCACCCTATGCTTGTCTATAAGGACATGGGCTCCCAGCCAAACTGCACACAGTGGAAATTCCACCACTTACAAGTTCTGTTGCCATTGGCAAGTTAGCTAAGCCTCTCTGTGCCTCAGTTTTCTTATTAGTCAAGTGGAGATAACAGTGGCCAGTCCAAAGGTTGTTACCGTTTTAAAGGAGTCAATGTCGGTAAAGTGCTTAGAGCAAGTGCTAGCATATATAAGTGTTCCATAAAGACTTGCAATAAAAATAAATGCAGTTATGTGAATCAGGCATTTTTCTGTCCAGGAATGGGAAATTAATTGTCCAAAGTCAAAGAATTAACTATGTTGTGTATTTGACTGAGTCCAGGACCAAGAAAGATAAACAAGAGTGATAAGATCTATTAATTTGAGAGATGTCAGAGCCACGGGAAAAGCAGATATTTCGTAAGGTTTTGTGTCCCCACATCAATTTGCTTGCAGGAACTCCTGACCTTCATAACACAGATAAGCAAATCACTTGGCAAGTTTCTATTCTCACCAGTATTTTTATTGTTATTTTGTCTTTCTTGAATTGTGAGACTTAAATTCCATAACTATTATTCCTTTTCTATATTCTTTTCAACATAATGTTCTATTAAAAACATTTCAACGGATTTCTACTTTATCCGCATGACAGAAAAGCCACAACTCTCTCTTTCTATTTTCCTTAGCTACGGATTTGTGTCTTAAGTAAACTGTTATTACTGAAAGATCCAAACAAAGCTTTTAGCCATGGCTGTCAAAAAACTTTTAAATTGGTTTTGTAACTGTCACAGCTTCACTTTGGTGCTGTCATTATAATTAGGTTGTTTTTTGTCTGAGTGTCTACGTGTCCCTGTTGGTACAGAGTCATTAAAATAATCACTTACAATGGATTTTGATACACTATAATCACCATTGCTTAGCTGACTTTCTCCAAAGTAATGACTTTCAAATATTAAATAAGAATTAAGGTGATCTGTATGTGCGGTAGCTAAATCTGAATATTAGAACCAGCGCCTCTAGCTTTGAAGTGAGGGCTGGTGACACGGTCCACTTCAGCTCAATTCAATCCAACCGGCGTTTGAAACTGGCTGTCACTTTCCTTAATGCAGAGGCCAGGAAACATCACATTTAGACTCAATGCTTATATCTATAGAACACTCCAAATTTATACTCTTCATTTTTTTTTCTTTTTTTAAAAAAATATTTATTTTGGAGAGGGAGAGCACAAGTGGGGAAGAGGCAGAGAGAGAGGGGACAGAGGATCTGAAGCAGGCTCTGCACTGACAGCAGAGAGCCCGACACAGGGCTTGAACCCACAGACTGCAAGATCATGACCTGAGTCAAAGTCTGACACTTAACTACTGAGCCACCAAGGCACCCCAATTTTTTATTTTCTTCTAAAAATTAACATAAAGGGAAATGTTAAAGTTGAGTCAGAGCCACAACATATTATGTAACTTGAGATTTTTCAGAATTATTTAATATGGATGTGGGTATATATACATATATAAACACACATATACATGTGTGTATATGTTTCTATACATGTATGTATATATTTTTATATATAATAAAAGACCCTTTGGATCCTGCATACACATTCAATTTTTTAAGGTTCTCTTCAATTGCAATGTCACCTTGGTTTATATTTTTAAAAAATCATACAGGTTTTCCATATATTCTTAGCTTGGCTTTGATCCAAGAAATACAATTTCTGTATGCAACAATTGGAATTACCGAAATACAAGTAAGAGACTATAGCAAAACCGTCCCCAAAGCAGCAGTATCTGGCAGTAACACTCAGGAGTCTTACTACCCAGACTGTGGTCCCTGAACCAGGGGCTTCCTGGGAGCATATTAGAAATGTAGGTTCTCAGGCCCATCGCAGACCTGCTGAATCAGAATCTGCATTTTTAACAAGGTTGCCAATGATTAATGTGTGTATCGAAGTGTGAGAGGTTCTGTTGTAGAGGATCTCCTTGAGCAGCAGTTTAAACTGGGTGACCTATAATTTTTTTTTTTTTTTTTTTTTTTACAAATTTACAATTTCATGACTCTAAAAAGTCTATAATCACTGATTAGAATAGAACACATACTGGCTGGAACATTATGGTAATATGTTAGGATACACCATCACATCCCCCCTCTCCAACCTCAAGATCAAAAACCAACTAAACCAGGTTCATGAAGACAAAAGTATGTGTTGACTTTTCAACCATTTGTGGGGAGTATTATGAAGACACCATCACAGACTCATAAAGTCTAGGAATGCAAGTGGTGTCTAGAGTCTGGAAAAGGCAAGAAAGTGCTTTCTTTCTTGTATCTCCAGAAGTAATGCAGCCTTCCTGACACCTTCATTTTAGCCAGCTGAAACGTACTTTGGAGTTCTGACCTATAGAACTGTAAATAATGTGTTGGTTTAAGTCAATAAATTTGTGGTTATTTGTTACAGCAGAATAGGAATCTAATGCAAATATTGTTCATGACTTGGACATACACCAGTTCAAATTGTCTCCTATGGCATCTGATTGTAGAGAACACCAGTGCTACAAAACTCTACTGCACCAAGGAGTTGCACCCAAGGAGATATGCCAGTAGGGGTCTCTGTAAAATTCATTACTACAGATTTAAACTCATCATGGCAATCAAAGTTTACGTTTTGTTTGTAACGCGTTCCAGAAACACGGAATGAGACAATGGGTCTGCAGCAATGATACTGAGTCACGCCTCAAGTGGAAGGACAAGAAAGGTCACTTTATATTATTAGTTCTGAGTCCTACCGTGAAAGGAATGTTCTCAAGAGACTAAAGTCTACCTCGAATATGAATAGGGATCCGCACTCAACCAACAAGATGTATCAACAAGGGCTACCATTTGGGTGCTTGGTTAGTGGCAAGTTTTGGTGTAAGCATATTTATTGCACACCTCGATGCACTGCATGTAAAAATTTCATTTAATCCACAACCCTGTGCAGTAGGTGTTTCATTATCCCTTTTCACATATGGAGAAAGGATAAGGGAAAGATAAGTAGGCTTCCACATTCCTAGAGGTAGAAGGTAGTCTCAGATGTTTTGAGCCCAAAGTAGGTGCTCTCTTGCCTTCTAACAATGCCTCCGACATGGCTCTACACACTCCAGAAGAAAGAACAGCAGCTCCCCTGCTCAGTGTTTGTGATTAAATAGAGGGAACAAGTTTGCGAACCTTATATTTGAAAGCTGAAGATGATCTGTTCCTTACAGAAGGGTCTAAGATCACCAGTGTGGGAAAAAATGTCGGTTTTGCAGACAGGCTGAGCTGAGTTTGCATCTGGGCTCTGTGCATGAGTAAACCTCTCTGTGACTCAGTTTTCTTACATGAGAAATAGATGTCAGAGCACCTACATCTCCAGGTTATAACATGACTATAAGAGAGACTATTTAGTATAGAGTCTAGCCTGAAGCAGGCATCTTGCACTCAGGATTCTTGTTATTTGTAACTGTATTTGAAAACACTGGAAGGATCCAAAGGTAGAGATACAATTAATTGCTTGTGGTGAAAATGAGAAGGGACAACATGAGAAATCAAGTGGGGGAGAGAACTAATCTTGAGAGGAAACATGGATGTGTATAGACTTTCAAAAAGGTCTTATGCTATCCCAGTTTTTGGCCTGACTACTTCATAGGAGCTATTTCTATTAATTTGTTCAGGAATTTTGCTTATAAAATGGTGCCATAAAGATTCTGAAGACTGTGCAGGCAAACATCCAACAAATCAAAACTGTGGCCTTTGAGGCCGCAATAAGGATAAATTAGGATAATGAATAGTACAGCTCAGAAATCAAATCTTTCTTTAAATTGCTGCTTGAGAGAATAAAATATACTACTTGGTAAACACATTTCAGGCACTGAACATTGCATCAGCCATGTACTAAAAACTGTGTTTTAATTAGATTTCAAAGTAAACATATTTGGAGAACAATGCAATTACCAGATGAAATTCTCAGAAACCATCCTGCATATGCAGCCATGAGCATACGAACAAGAACATAACGTAAAAGACCAAGTGCATAATACATCTCTCCTGTGCGTGCGGTACATTTTTTGCTTCCTGTATTTAGAAGACATCTGGATATATGTTACTTCTATCATCAATATACAAAATAATGCTGTCCGATATAAAGAATTT